GAGGAAAACCCATGAATGAGTACGAGCAGAATTTGATGAGTAAGAGTATAAACCACACATACGGCACACCCAATGGCCTTTGAAGTAGTCAGGTGACATCTTGGCCCTTTTAACTGCTGTCCACTCCACATCAGGCCAAGGTAAGCTCTACCTTCATAGAAGGCCATACGAACACAGCCAGAATCATGAGAAAACCAGGTGCCTTACCGCAATCAGGGCTGAGTGCCTCTGGTCCCCTGGGGCTGAAGCTGGTGGCTGCTGCTCCCCATCGATCCCACCACCGCCACCATTATTGCTACTGTTTAGCAGATGCTGCTGATGGTGATGGTGATAGTCTGGTGGGGGCGGTGGGGCTGTTGTCGCTGCTGCTTGGGAGGCTGTAGGAGGGGCAGCAGGGGGCTGTGGAGGGGCTGTAGTGGTGGCAGCAGTGGCTGTGGCCTTGGTGTGTTTGCCAGTCTTCCTTGCCCCCTGGCCATGCTGTACAAGGCTCAGGAGCTGCAAGGTGCTCTCTCTTTCCCGGTCTGAGCTCTCAGCCCTACCCCGTTCATAGCGTCCTTCGCAGCTCAGGTGATGCTGGCGGCAGACGGCGATCCGAGCCCGGAGGCGCTCCACGATAGCACTGTGCACTCTTGGGGTGACAGAGCCCCCTCCAAGGAGCCCCGCCCCAGGGGCCGCCCCTAGTCCTCCTGTGGGGGCCTGCGGGGGCGCTGTGTCCCCCATCTTAGTGGACACAATGATTGCTGCCTCTGGGATGGTGAGGTGGAAGGAGGCTACTGCTGGCTATTGCAAGCAAATCTGTTTTTGACGATGTGGGTTCAGTGTTCAGGGCCACATGAATGGAGATCTTCACAGGTTGTGGGGAGCAGTGGAGGTATGGGGGAGGGGCGTTAGTAAAAAGAGGATGAGGAGCAAGAACAGAAACCAATCACAGAGGATAAGTTGGAAAAAAGCGGTGATCAACTTACTCTAATTGCGTTTGACAGCTCTGGAGAAGTTGTACAGAGTTGGTGGGGTTTTCCACCCCCTCACCCTGACCCCCCACCAAACTGACAAGAGCCACTAGGTACTTTGTCAACACGTGATCTAGAGGGTAGAGCAAGAATTCAGGGATTGTCAAGCCAGAGACAGAAACAGACAGCAAAGGGAATTGAGAGAGGTATTAATAGAGAACTGGACTCCCCCCTCACCTAGTTGTTTCGGAAATTTCTTTATGGGGATGTTTCTGAAGAGAAACACATTTCTACCATGGTCTATGTAACCCGCAGCCTTTACTTTTCCTCAGGTTAAAAAAGAAAGTGCTGTTTCAGAAGGTTTTGAAGTCAATGTTCAAAATGTACAAAAATCAAGAGAGCCCGTCTTTTGCCTTTTAATTTCTCCTCCCTTTCCCTTCGCTCCGGTGTTTTCTCCTCTTTGGAAGACTGTAGGATGTTGTCTTTTCCCAAAAGAGGGAGACAGCTTTTCAATTGTTAACAATGTCAGTAACTGGACTTTTGTATCATGCTTTTTTCTTCAGCTAATCCAATCAGCGGTAAAAATCCTCATTCCCTCTAAGGTTTCCTAGCCTTAAATGAAAGCAGTCTGAAGTCGCTAGCCACTGAGAGAGATCTTTCAACACATTTTTTTTTTTCTTTCCCGCTTAGGTTCCTATCTCTCACCCCCGGCTCTATTCTAATACAGTATCGAGAGACAAACTCTTCCGAGAGTAATTTACAAACGATGGTCAAACTTACAAACTTCCAGCAAATTGCACCGAGTCATGTCCAGCCACTTTTCTGTCCACTTTTGTACATTCCATCCGGGCCAGTGGATCTGAGGGTCTGGACTCGCAATAAGCAATGTGGTTCTATCTCTTGTATTGCTCCGCTTTATAGATGGAAAAAAAAAAAAAAAAGTAGCTTGTATTTTCCTTTCTCTTTCCCGTCTGTTAGCCGCTTTGCTGACACTGGCTCCACTGCCCGGAGTCACGGCGATACACAGGCTTTCATTGTGCTCGGATAGGAGAGGGAGAGAAAGAGAGTGAGTGAGACAGAGAGGGAGAAAGAGAGAGCCAGAAGGGAGAGCGTATCCGAGGCTCCCTGGTGGAAGGCTGGTGCCACTGCACGAGTGAATAATTGCAGCCAGGCACCGAGGAAAAGGGGAACGCAGAGGGCCTCCCAGTGGCTGAAGAGGTAAATCCCGAAGCCTGCGCGTCTCACGGCGCTTGCCTAGCTCAGTCTCGGCCTAGGCTGAGTGGGGAAGGTTGGGGAAATTCCCCAACCTCTACACAGCTACTACATCAGCTGTAAATGTTTAAGAAATCCCCGGCCAGGGAATGTATTTTCCCTTTCAGATCTATATTACACCCCCGAGGATATCATTTTCATTTTTCAATATGTTGTAAATGACACCACTGAGCACCCTAGCGAAAGCTGGGTGAGCACTGAGGAAATGTTCATTAGCAGACTGTATGAGTGTGTGCATGTTGGGGGTGGGGAGGACTGGAAAGGAAATCACATTCAGAGCTCCTAAAGGGCCAGGAGGTGTCTTGTCTACCTTCCTGCCTGTTTGTGTCTCTCCACCTGGGTCATCACAAGCGAATTGGCAGGGATAAACAAAATATTTTATTATGAAATTACCAATACTAGTTTGAAGAGAAAAAAAGGTTTTTCTTTGAAAATACAAGATTGCCTATGACAATGTAAGATCTGAGGTCTCCGTGGCCACCTGGTTTACATATGTAATGAGGAAAATCAAGTAGCAGCTGAATTTCAAGCAGTCTAATGACACAAAGTAAATCTCTTAAGACTATTGTCCTCTCATCTTTAGACAGATGATCCTACTTTTAAGATCTCAAACGGTGTATTGGATTCTGCTTGTCATTATCAATTATGGAGAACAAATTAAGGTGAGCGCAGTACTGGGATAGTCAGTACCATAAATACTACGTATTGTCCTAACTTGGAAGTCACTGGATATGAGGTCTCAAGCAATGGGACATGTTCATTTAAACCAACTCTAGTATCTCAGTAAGGTGGTCCTGCTTCGAACTGAGCTATGAATAGAAATGAGTGGGTAAAGTCAGTGCAGACATTTTAAGCCTGGATTTATAGACAATTTAGTTCCCAACACATTGGGAGTTAAATTAGTCCAGTTTACTTTCACAAATCCTGGAATGTTAGTTTGTAAATGGGGACTAGTACACTCTGATGGAATATAACTTTTTATTTTCCAATGGAACATCCTTGTATCTGTCCTTTCCCAGGCTAAGTTCCTCACCACTCACGTGGAAAATGGTAGAATATATGTCTTTGTTAGAAATGCAAATTCGAAAGAACTCAGGAGGTGTCATTAAAAAGTGAAGTTTTGATTTTATAAATTTGATTTTTAAAAAGTTGTATTCATTAGACATTATCTTTTCTATTACTATGGGTATTTTATATTCAGCAATCACACTTGATAAGAGAAAAATCAGTAGTATTTACATTTAAAACTTACTTGTTCACTCTACAGTCCTGCAGTAGCATGGGTTTTGATTAATAACAGAGTCCTTGGTCAAATCTGCCATCCCTAAATGTCAACTTTGATTTCTATGCTAGACAGGGACACCTTCAAAACTTGTTATCATACTATATTCCAGTGTTACAGGACACTTCTTTAGAGTCTTTTGCACAAATCTACCGTTCATGGCCATTTAATTTCAAGCTGACATAATTATCTTCCACATCTTCATTTTCCATTCACATCTGTATTTATTTACAATCACTGTTTCAGGCATAGCTCTTAGCATATATGTCCCTTAATACACAAACAATCCTGAGAAATAAGTATTGTTAACCTTATTTATAAATAAGAAAACTGAGGCTCATTGAAATTAAACTACTTGTTCCAGTACATGCAACTAGGAAGTAAAGATCAGGACTCAAACTCAAGACTGATTTCAAACCTATTCTTCCTTAACTGCTGGGCTTGATGCCTCAACATCAAGTGTGAAGAGTCACAGGGAAGCCAAACTACCCCAAAAATAGCTCCAGGGCTGCAATTACTCCTCAATCAACATACTGGAATCTAAGCAAGTCCTATAATTCCTCAAAAAGAGAGTAGTGAATAAAACTACTCATCTGAATATGAGAGTAGACAAGTGAGAAAATACGGTCAATTATATCCAACTGCCAATAAAATAAATATTTCCTTTTTCCTTGTTTTTCTCTTCTTATGGTACTGGTCCTTCTCTTATAACCCTAAAGCTTCTGTACAGCCTAATGAATTCTTTCAAGCATTACTTCCCTTTTACTTGTCTGTATCTGTCTTCCTTATCATCTCTACTATCCACAGCTACTTAATACTAAGGCTTCTATAGTAATTCCCAGATCTAAAAAGTTCAGACATGTGAGATTTATAAGTTTACAAATATTTTTTAGTTTTATATCGAATCAATGATATTGATTCATATGTAATCGACGATGATGATAATAAACTACTACAGTATGTCACAATACCTGTAAAAAATAATTCTATTTTTTCAACATTTCTGTTTTCTTATAGACTACTTACTTTTGGCTCCCCAGATCCATGCTAATGCTCATTTCCTAACAGCCTGTCTCCTTGCCATTCTTTTGGGGTTATCACATACCTAAAAGTCTCTTGTATTCTCCAAAGAGCCACTGAAGAAGCTTGCTCAGTTACAATGACCTGAGATATTAGCCAAAAAGGATGCACTCCTCACACAAAACATCAAAATCAGTAATTTTACAACTTTGTGAACTTTTTCTTCCTGTTTTGTTTACAATAATAATGGGAATAACTTCACAAAATACAGAAAATATTAAGTAATCTCAATGTAAGGACTAAGTAAAATGTAGCTTTTTATGTGTACACATACGCTGAAGTCTGTGCCATGAACCACATAATAGATGAAGCCAGGTTCAACCAACATTTGAAGAAACAAGTACCTAAGGTTCCACAGTAAAATAGATCCTATTAGAATACCACTTCCAAGAATTAAAGATACAAAATAGACAAGGTCCATTTGTTCACTCTGAAACCATTTTACTTTATTATATTATGGAAAAATTTAGATGTGCAAAGCAACGCAGATGCCAAAATATGCTTTTAAATATTTTTGGCTAAATCTGTCTGAGATCTTCTGATCCTATATAAAAACATATGCAAAAGTTATGGATAAAAATAAAATACATCTTAATCATTAATGTGTAGACAAAATTGAATAGAAAAAAGAACATTATGAAGCATAAAAATACATACCATGATTATTCCTGATGTGAGAGTTGAAACACTCTATAGAGGCCTGAAATCGATTTCTAAGGGAAAGCACTCCTCTACTTGGAAAGGGTAAACTACAGGCTGATTCTGAGGCAAGGAAAGGGGTTGAACTGCATGAAGCATTGAGGTTTCTTCTATGGTCCAGTGATTTAGATAATTACAGTAGTAAAAAACATATTAGTGAAGATCATTTGATGCTGAAAAAGAATAATAAACAAATCTGGGCAGGGATTCAGCAATAAATACATGTTGGTGTTTGTCTAAACACATTTTTTAAATACAGCATTTTTGTACTAAACTGACAGGACATGAGCAGCTCATTCACTTGATAGTCATCTGTTATAAAGGCATTGTTACATAACTTCAAAATACACTTAAAATTATTAAGCTTATGTTTTCTATGTACAGTAGATGAAAGTTTTATTAGACTGTAGAGTAACATTTCATGGAAATTAAGATGAACATGTTTTAAACAAGATATTTTACCATGAAGATATACATAAAATATATAATTGTCACATGATATAGAGGAACAAGGCATATGATCTTCACATTTACAGGAATTTATAAAATCTTCTCTGAAGGAAATGTGTTACAATTCAGTCAAACTTCTCATCTTGAAAGTAATCCGCATGATTGAGATATTCTTCAAGTTGACCATATTTCTGTGTATACAATAAAAAAGCTAGTTATTTTACTCAAAGCAATGAAGATAAGCTAGGCCTTTTCAATCTACAGACACATATAGAAACAAGTTCATTTCATGGTAATCACGAACAATAAACTTTTTAAATATAAACAGGGACTCAATTTCAAATAAGCATTTCTAATTCATAAAGCACTGGAAAGAGATCAAATGAAACATTATTATTAATTTCGTAACTTTCTTGTAACATATTTTTCTAATATATTTATAGCAAAAGTATAACAACTTCAATAACTTATTCAACAACAATCTGTTGAATGTATAACATATATCAAATACTCTGCTAATGACTGTCTAGGTACAA